GATTACAAACCCTACTAAACATTTGGTAGATTATAGTGGGATTTTCTCCTCCAATACCTGTTCCATTGCTCCAAGTGCGGTAAGCATCTAGCTGTAATTGAATTATTTAATGTGTTAATGTAGGATTTTTTGTTTGCATTTGCCATTACTCATTGTATTGTCTACATTTTGTTAGGCATTCAAGCAATAAGCATTATATTGAACTATTATTTAATTGTACAATTCATTTATTTTGGGAGTTGAAAGATGATTTTCCATTTTTATTTTATTAACTCAACGCTTCAAAGATGATTTTTGATTGCTAGATCAAAGAATTTCCCATTTTTATTTTATTGATGCTATTTGCCCACTTATCATTTGCTGGAAATTTGGAAAAAAAGGAAATTAAAGGAGATTCCTTTTAAGTCAACAAGTCAACAAGTGGCTTCTAGAGATTCCTCACCTTACGGTTCTCAAATCTCGAAGTCTTAACCAAACCCAAGAACTTGCTCTTAATTATATATATGGTTTTTAAAATTGACCCGGAAACTGAACCGGTCAGGAACAGTCTGATCATTCGAACTGAATAACCGGCTCATTCTGACAAAAAAAAATAAAAACAATCAAAAACGTTCGAATGATTAATCAACCAGATAAACAGTTTACTGACCAAAATCAGCAGTTTTTGAAGAAAATCCGATTTTGAAAAAAACCGAAACTGATCACCTAGCCGATTCTCAGTTTTTCCGGTCCAACCATCCTGTTCGGTCCGATTTTAAAAACCATGCTTAATTGTTTAGGAATCCCAAATCGGAGACCTCTTTCTTTTGCTCATTCCCCTTTAGAGGGTTATTTTAAGCTAAACACGGGTGGTGCTTCCCGGGGTAATCATGGAATTGGTGGAGTACCATCAGAGATGAGCACGGTAGTTTAATCGCCATGTTTCATTCGTACTATGGTGGTGGTGAACAATTTAATTTAATGGTTGAAGCTTTCAGTTTGAAGGACGGCCTAATGTTGGCCAAATCTTTGGGGATCCAAAAAAGTTTAGGCTTTCGGTATTTCCATGGTTCTCGTTTAGCTTCTTTGGAAAAACCTCTTTTTTACCACATTATCTTCGGTAAATTGGCACTGACAGCTTGAGGTGGGAGGAGATTTGCTCTTTCGTGGATGTTACTTTCTTTCACACGTTTCGGGAGGGTAATCTCATGGTTGATGCATTAGCTGATATGGCTTCTGATACTCATGATTATATCATTTTTTATTCCCGTAGTGCCCTGCCTATAGTCATCGACGGCGCGTTATGTGTACCTGTGGGTTCACTGGATGCGTGAATCCACCAATCAAAAACGACCACGTCGGCATTTTGAATAAACACTAACTTTAACGGACTTTTTTGCCGTTAGCAGCTGGAACCGGTTGAACCGAACACAACTGGACAAAAAAATACTTGGAAGGCTAAAACCCATCTTCAAGGATTTCATTCCAAGTTTCCAACTCCCCCCCATTTCCTCCTCTTCTCTGCCGAGCCCTAACCCAAAAACATCCCACCGGCGATCTCATTGTACACCGGTGATTATGGGCACGAAATCTACTGTCGGTAAGCAGAGGAAGGTACTCTCTACAAGGAATCTTCTTCTTCTTCTTCGTTTGTGAATTCCTGCTCAGCCAATTCAATTTGTTGTTTTGCTTGCTGTCTTGCCTCTTCAGCAAAGGCATTTTCTGTCATGGCCAACCTTAGCTGCTCCGTTGCCTGTTCTTTCAGTCTAGAAACTGCTAAAGCTGGTTCATCAATGACTGTCTTCTCTTTGGGAGAGTTTCTATTTGCATCTTTTCTCAAATTGGCTTTGTTTGAATCAATTTTGTCGCCATGGTCACATGACCTAATTGAGAGCTGCTACTGGGTAGCATGATTTTCGTCTGTATTTGGGGAAACCGTGGTACCAAAGGTACTTGCGAGATAATTCGATGACGATAGCAGCTACAGTTCCATATTGTGGCATTGTTCCACAGTGGAAGGATTATTCCGTTCTAGACATAAGAAGATGAGTTCCTTCGGCTTTTGCATTTTCAATCCAGGCCAAGGAGCTGTACTGAAATTTGTGTCACTCGATGGACTCGGGCTTGAAGCTGTTCGAGACAGGCAAGCTGCCGATTATAGTGTCTGCAACTCAGTTTTGAGACACCCACCATTACAAGCGTCTTGGTGTTCAATGAAACTGTCAACCCTGATCAGAGAGAAATTAAAACAAATGAATCAAACCAACAGCTTAATCACAGTTTGATCAAATGGGCTCTTCAAACTAGAACAAGCAGAACATTCAAGTGGCTCTTGATCTTCCTGTTTTAATTGTAGAAGATACGTTTAACAAAAAAGCTGCACCCTTCTTAAAATGAAATATATAAAGAAATCAATAAAAAAAAACTATGTTTTCGTTAGACTGGGTTTGGATTCAAACGGAAGATGGGAGGGAAATTGATGAGGGCAGATTTGGCCCTCCAGTGAAATTGCGACACATGGCACCTCGTGACAACTAGGCAAACACCCAGGCAACAACTTACCAAGTTGGTGTCCCCCCGGGCACCGGTCTGGCTGGCCTGGCCCGGACACAGGCGCCGACCTGGCAACCTGGCCCGGACATAGGCGTCGACCTGACAACCTGGCCCGGACACAGGCGCCGACCTG